TTGGCTCATTAGGAGGGGAGATCTGGACGAGAAAGGACTAGAAGCTTTCTCTCTTGGGAGAGCGGGGCTGCACATCCCGAACCAGCCTGGGGCTTTGCCTGGGCAGCATTTGTGTTGCATGGCAGAGCTAGCGAGGCGGCACGGGCTCCCCAGCTGGTTAAAACATGGCCAAGCTGCTTGGCTGCAAAAGCGGAGGGGCCCGTGGCTCTGGTGGGCTCCGTGGTGAGCTGCCCTGCCCCCTTCTCCGCACGCATACTGGTGCAGGGATGCACCATTTCTGGGCCTGTCCCCCTGGAGCTCAGCATCACCTGGTCCCCATCAGGCCCTCGGGGCCCCACGGCCCATATTTCCTCCCTCCAAGAAGCTCACCCAAGGCTCCACGTGTAACGCTGGTGGAAGCAGAAAACAGCCCGCGGCCCTGTGCGGTTTCTGGTGGGAGCCCGTTACGGTCCTTACACCTGTTTGTTTGTTTTTTTCCTTTTCATGGAGCATTTCACCCCTGTGCGTTGTAACTTCATCCCGGTCCCGTGCGAGTTCCCGGCACCCGCGTGCCGAGAAGCGGGGTGGAGGGACCAGGCTGCACGCGGCTTCGCGAACCGGCCTGGTTGGAACACGCCGTGCTCTTTTGTGCCGCTTTGCCCCTCGGCCACATGACCCCCCTCAAAGTCACCTCCATCCCCGTCCCTGCCCCAATGCTTCGGCTCTGAGTCCGAAAGCCATTGGGGGCGAGCGCATTTGCTTCCTCGTGACCTTCCAGTGCCATCTAACGGCAGCTGTTGGGTCTCTGGATGCTCACTTGGCTTCTCGCTTTCTCTCCCTTTTCCTTAGGGCCTCGATGACTACGGGACAAGATCTGGTAGCAGGTAAGAGTCGTTCTTTCGTACCGTACTCTGTAAAGCGAATGCTGGTGTTCGTAGCTCTGGAAAGCATAAGCGATGCTGCAGTGTCCCTCAGTAGGAAGCATTCTCAGGTGGCCGGCCACAAACCAGTGGGCACGCCGCGTCAGGGCCTGGCATGGGTGGGGGGTGCAGCAGGTCGGATCATTCAGGCATGTCTATCCGGCCGGGTCGCCTGCAAGCGCCTTTCTTGAGCAGAGCGAAGACATCGTCCTCCAGCTTCCCTAGGCCTGGTGTGCAGGGGCAGCCCTTGCCTTATCCAGGGTCGTAGGTAGGCTCACCCCCGCTCTGGGGGGTAGAAGTCCCTCTGCATAGGCTAGAAGGGTATAAGCTACTATCTGCCCCCCCGGCTTCTCATGTTGCCAAGGCTTGGGGCCTTTCCGCGCTGTCCCCATATCTTCTCCGGGCACTTACCTAACTGTGCTAGGGACCGCGACCCGCAGAGCAGAGGCATTTGCCCAGGGGACAGACCAGCTGACAAAGCTGGTCATGTCGAGTCTTGCAGGGATTTTCAAGCCAAATTCGAAGTCTCGAGAAACCCTCCCCCCTTTGCCGAGAGCCGAGTTGCGGGTGAAAGCAGGGCAGGACGGGGCAGCGCCCCACGTCCTCCTCCCAGCAGCAGCATCCTGACCGCTGGCCCGGAGCAGATGGGCCCCCGGGGCAGGCGCCTGGCAGCACGGGCCAGGGAGAGTGCAGGGGCTGGAGCCGAGCGGCAGCAAAGGGAGACTGCATGGCGATGAGCGCGCGTTGCTGTCCGCCATGGCGTGCAGTCTGGCAGTGTCCCTGTGCTTTCTATTCCGCAGTGGCAGTGGCAGCTTGGTATCAACTGTGTGAGGACACCCTGACTAGCAATGGCAGCTGCTGCTTTGAAGAGCTTTCTGCTTTCTTTCCCCCGCCCCTTCCCCCTTTTTTTGTGTTTTTCTGTTTTTGCCTTTCTTCTTTTCTCCTTTGACCCTCCTCCTTCGGGATTGATCACTTGTGACCATCAAGGAAACCATGGTGCTGCTACCTGCCCCCTTCCCTGACGTTTCCGCTGCCCCCTTTTTGGCGAAGTCTTTCAGAGCAGAACCTACCTGCCGGGCCAGGCCCGCGCCGCGGGTTCCCTCCCCTAGTCAGCCGTGGCGGGTTGTGAGATGCGCTGTCCCTTGTCCGAGGCTTCCCGCGAGCCGCCTTTTACTAGCCACACGGAAGAAACTGTTCCCGCGTGGAACCAATATGCATGGCCTCTGGTATCCGTACTGTTACTTGCACTCTCGTCGTGACTCTGCTAAGATGCCGGTTTCTGGAGGGAAGGCAGGTGTAGACGCTAGCGGGGCCCGGTCCTTCGCTCTGTGGGGCGTCCGCTTTCATTCAGCCACGCTCAGCAAAGTTGCTTTAAGAAAGTGGGTAGCGTGGGGGCTTCTGCCTCGCAGACGAGCAGGGGGTTTCCAGGGGAGGGTGGGCACGTGCCCTGCTCCCCGTGGCCAGAGCCCGCGGCCCACCCCAGGGCAGGACGATTCGCTCTGTCTTTGGTTGTTTTATAACTATACATATATGTATATATATATATATTTTTTGTAGCAAGGTATTGTTACCTCACGGTCGTGTCTCTGGGGGAATAAATAGTGGTATTATGCAGGTTGCCAGAGCAAATCCAAAGACACTTTTGCATTTTAAAATTGGACTTTTATGGGGAGGAAGAAGAAGGAGGAGGAAAAAACCCAACAAC